TACATGAAGATCAAGCGAAATATTTTTCTGCTTTCTCTAAGGGTGCTAAGTTCTAATTTTTTTAGCAGGGACGTGACGCTTGACCATAAACGTTTGTATAGGTAATCACATGATTTCGAGTGCAATTTGGAATAAATAAGCACGAGTACTAACAAAATTGCACGAGCCTGTAGGGCTCGTGCAATTTGTGGTCTTTGAAAAAATTAACAAATGCTTGTTTATTCCAAATTGCACGAGAAAAATCATGTGATTACGTATTAATAATATACATGGAAAAATACGAGATGGCTTATCATAATTAAGCATAAGCAAAGCGTGCGCAACAATTGCAAAAATAATTTATTCAAACCGTGCGTTCGGTCAAAACAACCGCGTACGATCAAAACAATAATATGCAATGATATCTTCACATCTTTAAGGCGCAAAAATGTTCAAAGTCCGGCTAAACAGTTCAAGGAATTGTTCAGTCTGTGTCCGAATCACTTTCGATGAAATGGAAACGTCGTTTCCGAGGTTTAACCATGTTTGTTTTTAATTTCGGCGTTGGATCGCTCGAGCAAAGTGTTAAACTGGGTCGGCTCGTTGAACATCTGAACCAAAAAGCAGAGCTTTTTACAGTGTTTTCGTTGTTTGAGCTGTTTTTCAGCGGCGGTGGCGAAAGAAAACCTACTTAAAACGCCGGCCATTGTTTCGCTCGCAAATTTTCAAATTTTCAAATTTTGTTGCGACATCCAAGGCTCGCATTTGACTGGCTATCTGTGAGTTTCTTCGATTATTGACCAGTCTGAATGTCTGGTTTGTTACTTTCTTTGCACTGAATTAACCCTCTTCTGTACTGAATTAACTCTCTTCTGTACTGAATTACCTGAAAACTGCATTTATCTTAACCAATCAGAACTGAGTAATTTATGTATATTATTAGTACAAATACAGACTGCTGTTCTTTGCACTCCTTCTTGTCTGACAATGTCGCATGTCGCATGACAATGTGGGTCCCAAGCAACGGACGCTTATACTATCTTAGGCCGGACTAAGGTAACATATACCGTCATTTTGATGCTGTCCGTACAGAACCATACATTTCTCCTAATTAAGCCTAACAACCTATTGGTAGTATTACAAATATAATTTATATGTTCCTTCCATCTAAGTCTATATTCTATTTCATCTCCCATATAAGTACAGATGGGAATTCACATTTTCTAAAATTTTGCCACGGAAGTATAATTTTGCTAGGGGTGGTTCTCACTTAGGTGTACAATACTGTACAAGTCAATCTTTCCATTGACCAGGTAGTATACCGCTTCCCAAGGATGATTGGAAAATAACTGAAGGATGTGTGCGACTACGTAGGTAGTTAGTTTAATTAGCCAAGGATAAAGGCTGTTAGGACTAGGCGCTTTTTGATCGTCCTTTAAAGATTTGCAGATGTTTCTTGACACCATTACAGCTGAATATTAATGAATCTATTTCTGGGATAGTGCTCGTGCGGCCTAAGAGACGGGATGTTATTCATGTCTTCGGACTCATAGACGCTGCAGAACTGGGAGTTCAAGGCTTCGGCCTTAGCTCGCGCATCAGAAAGCAGTTTTCCACCGACCTCCAAGTCTGCTACTCCAACCTCTTTGTTCCTTACTTTCTTAAAACGGGACCAAAAAGCTTTAGGACTAGTTTTACAGGCATCTAGGAGGAACTCAGATGTCTATTGGTCCTTAGATTTTGATAACGCTTTGTGCAGAGCTTTCCTGGTGACTTTAAAGTTGGCCCAGTCCTGAGGTCTGCTAGATTTTTTGCTCTGTTGTATAGTTTCGTTTTTTCCGATAAAGGCGACGGTGACAAAATGTAAACTAGGGAAGATTATAACCACTTTAGACTACTTTGTGAAGCACGTTGTTTTGTAACTTAGTCGATATAGCTGATGCAAATCAAATTCGTCCCACTGTTGTGCGACAGGTACAGCAGATAGATCTTTCAGGAAGTAACTCTGACAAGTTGACATGTCTGACTTGATTTTGGCTGCATTAGCTTTGCTCTTTATGAAGACTTTCCGCTTCTGCAACCTTTCCCTTTCAGGATAAATCAGTAGATCGAAGAGTACCATATCATGATCACTTATACCAGCAGTTACTTCTAGTTTCTTAACCACAGAGTCATTATTGGTAAATACCAGATCTAAGATATTTTGGATTCTGTTGGGGGAATTTACTAGCTGTTTAAAGCCAAATTGTCGCTGAATATCCAATAGGCAGTTCGCGACAGAATGTGACTGATGGCAATCGGTGGCACAGTTATCCTTCCGATTTATATTTGGTATGTTAAAATCGCCGGGCAGTACTGATAAAATCATTGCTGTTATTTTAAGTAGTGAGAGTTCCAGCTCCTTAAGGTTACCGATGCTACCGCCGAGATTGTCGCCAGCAGGTCTCAAGCGCGCCAACAAAGGCTGTTCGTTCAACACCAGATAACCAAACAACACATATGTTGTATGTTCATTTGGTCTATGTACCGGACTAATTAGACAGTGAGAATTTCCAGCAGATGGATTTGTAAGGTCTCAAAATATAATCCTGTTGTTGGTGTGGTAAATCAAATAGTTCTCGACCGGACAGTTTAGGCGGGAAATGCCACAAGTCGAATAATCATGGGTAATTGCAAAGGTAGTAAAAAATAGCCGAGCTTGACAACGACATTCGGGAACTAATAAAGGATAATGATTACATAAGTTAACGATGGATGCCTCAACTTACAGTCAAATGAGAGACAAAAAGCGGTCTCCTGATATTAATTCGTGTGAATTCACTTTTTCATGCCCACTTGGATAGTGTACACCTGAGGGTTATTTTTAATCTCTTCTCTACCCTCTTGGGTACTGTGTACCTGACGGCTAATTGTTGAGATCTTCTTTACCCTCTTGGGTATTGTATAACTGAGAGTTACTTTTAATCTCTTCTATACCCTCTTAGGTAGTGTATACCTGAGGGTTAATTTTTAATCTCTTCTATACCCTCTAGGGTAGTGTACACCTAAGGGTTATTTTTAATCTCTTCTATACCCTCTTGGGTAGTGTATACCTGAGGGTTGTTTTTAATCTCTTCTTTACCCTCTTGGGTATTATATACCTGAGGGGTATTTTTAATCTCTTCTATACCCTCTTGGGTGGTGTATACCTGAGGGTCATTTTTAATCTCTCCTTTACCCTCCTTACACGGCAGTCGCGTTAGACCATATTCACAAGTGTGAATTTGCTGACGATGACCCAAAATGCAATAACGTTGTTTCAGAGGAAGGTGAAGACTAGCTTCTACCCTGTTATAGTCGATTTTGGCAAGAGTTTTGCCTTCGGAAAAGCTAAAAATGCTGTTTTAAAACCTTCGCATTTAAAAGGTCATTGTAAGAATAGTTGCAATACGCCGAAGCTTGTGAACCGAACGGGGAGTCCATCGGTTGAAAGTGATGTGTATTCTCTGGCTTATTCAATCAACACAGTTTCTGGACTTTTAAGTTCAAAACCATGACCTGTATTCCATGACCTAAATTCGAATTTAGCCTTAAATAGACCTAGGCCTTTGATTACGGGGGGTGAAATCAACTTTATCGGTGCCGCCTTTAAGGCTATTTTTTGGTTTCTTATTTTTACATGTTTTGAATTGTTCTTGTTATATTTTGTTGTGACATTTGGCCAGAACTATTTGTGGACCTTATGTTAACGATTTACTGTTGTCTTCTTTAAAACATACATTTCTATTACTGGCGCTTAGTGATACGAACCACTATAGAAGACGAGGTATCAGGACCAGGGTGGGTATGAACGCCCCCAAATATTAAAGTAGCAGAGGTCGAGCTCTGAAATGTTTCTGTGCTATTTGAATAATACTATATACGGCCTTTCAACCATCTGATTTCCTTTCTTCTCGACACAAATACTGGCATTTCGTTCGGCACAAAGAAACCATCATAAACAGTCCTAGGGGGAGCTTAATAGAAGGCAAATGCGTGCCGTGAGATAATTTCGGGCGTTCCCAGAGGGGTGCTTGATTGAAAAATGCAAATACGGCGTTTGCATTGAGATCGATTCAAACGTTCAAGACCACCGAGGATATTTGATTTCCTCTTTATTTTGGGTAGATTTAATCCCAATTCCACTGCATTTTCCAATCTCTTTGATGGTTGCACAAGTCTAGCAGATGTTCGGTTAGTGATTTAGCTCCTGAAGTAGCATAAAAAGGGCATCAAATACGGTGGTAAAAAAAACACCTCTGCTCATTATGCATGTATGTTTTTTTTTACCTTTCATGTTCATGTTTGTCCCTCTAACGGGCTCTCATGCTGAACTGTTTTTTTTTTGACTTGCATTAGCTCTTGAACGTTTCTGAGAATTACCAAATTAGTGTAAGGCACTGACCCAGAAACGTTTAAACTGTTAAATCTCAGAAATGATTAACCCTCTAAGTCCCACTGGTGACCTCGACAAAATTTCTCCTTACACCATCAGTACGATATCAAGCAGACAAGAAATGAGATGAAAGAAAAATATCAATCAGGGTATTACTAGTTAATCCAATTCCAAATTCTCCAAACTAAAATCACATAAATTGTATAGCAGACAGTAAGGAGAATTACTAATGAAATCTTGGGAGTTAAAGAGTTAAAGAGTTAACATATGCTTTCTCTTTGCAATATTGATATACAGTTGCAGGTAAACAGGTGATGAAGACAGATATAACCAAATTCTCTCATCTAATTTATAAGAAATGCTTAGCATGAAAAGATAATTTTAAGAGTTAAAGAGTAAATAAAATGCAATCCTCGATAAATGGAATTGTTAAGAGGTTGGCTAAATGAGGATCAGTTATGTCAGGGGCTTTTCTCATCCATTCAAGGTTCTTGCCTATAGGCTGGTACTGAAGATTGATTGTTATGTGGGTTTAACTCTCATTGACTGACCATGTCGCTTCTACCGAAGGTAACCGAAGGGTTGGCCAGACGCAAAGCAAGTGTCAATGGATGCGACAGACATCTTCCTGCAAGAGTTTAGCGCAGTTGATGGTGTCTCTCAACCAATAAACAGGCTAGAAAGGAAGCTCTTTGCGGCTATACAAAAAGGAGATCTGGAAAAATTTAGGACTATTCTTGATTTTTCCAAAACAAAATGCGACCTGAATTGTGTCAACAGCTCTGGTAAAACACTTTTACAAGAGGCAGTAGATGTGGAAGATGCTCCTGTCCGGAGCAGCATAATCAAGTCTTTACTGAGCGAAGGAGCTGACCTGGATCTAGCCTTGTTATACGTGGTACGCGTTGATGACGTGAGAAGCTTGAAAATTTTACTGAAATTTTATGGTCCTCCGTTGTCGGAACCTTTTCCACCTTTGTCTCCATGCATTAGAAAGTATTCGAAACAAGAACTCCACATGACACCACTGATCCTGGCGGCCTGTTTGAGGAATTTCCAAATTGTGAAGCTTCTTCTTGAGCACGGATTTACCATTTGTGAATTGCAAAGTGATTCTCAACGCCCCATCGAAGTCGTCAGCGAGAAGCTGGGACCTGCCATGCTCCGGTTGAACAGGTATCGAGCTCTTGCAAGTCCTGTGTACATGGCGGCTTCATTTCTGCAAAACCCGTTCAGCGGTCCGGATCCTGTTCATCGCGCATGTGTTCTTAACAAGAAACTGTCTGACATCGCTGAGCAGGAGTATGAATTCAGAAAAGAGTATTTGGCTCTCAGCGATGGCTGTAAAGAATTTGCCGTGGATCTGTTGAATGAATGCCGTTCAATGAAAGAGATCAGGTGTGTTATGGAGATGCAGAATGAAGATAAAGCGCTGCCACACGTCCAAGGAAAGCTCAGTCTGAACATTCTGGAGTTTGCCACTGTCACGGAAAATGAAAAGGTACTTAATCTAAGCGTAAGTTTAGTTGCAGTGCACCGATTCAAGGCTATCTTAATCAAAATAATCAGATATATTTAGAATGGTTTCGAGCGTGACACAAGTTTTCCCGAGGCGGTAACCAAAGGAAGAACCCTTACACGCATGCACACGTTCCTACGATCAGCCTTTGTCTACAGCAAGTACTTAATGCTGCGTTTTGATAAGTTCAAGCTGATCAAACACTAAACGCATGGCCAACGGTGTCAGAAGCGGACCATTTTTTTGACTATTAGCTTGTCACTGACTGTTTTGCGCACGATTAAAAAGATCAGTGGAGTAGCGATTGCATGATGTTCACATATCGTGCCGTAACCCGCGCATACCTGACCTCGTATCGAATGGTTGCGAGATTTCCTTTAATTTCACGGGATCATGTCCCACTCTGGGAAAGGAAGGGAAACTTTGTCACGCGCAGTACGGTAAGGTGATTTGTCACATAGCCCGATAATGGGTCTAACTTTTGTTGTCAGGAGTATGTTACACATCTGAGCATATAAACGCTACCCTAAAACTAGTATAGGTAATTACGCGAGACTCGTGCAATTTCGTTGTATTTAAAAAAAATTACAACAGCTTATTTACACCAAATTTCACGAGAAATCATATTACTTACAATAGACATGAAAATAGACAATAGACATGATCAAAAAGCATCACAGAAAGTCGAGACAGACGAAATTTTAACAGCGCGCGCGCTATTTGTAATTTGCACTCGCGTTACAACTTTGCACTCGTGTTCAGCTAATCAGAAGCACGTAATTCTTACATGTATATATATCATTACATACAGAAAAACACTTCCATTGCTTTGGGAACTAGTGAGGTTAACAAGGCTGCAGAAATGTATTTGACAAAACTTAGAAAAGTGTTTCGCCTTTTGCATTTGCAGTTCGTCAGCCATCCTTACAGCCAGCTTGTGTTAAATTCCGAAATATACAGAGATGTCCCATTCTTGGAGAAAAGTTCGTGGAAGCAGTTTATCCTGATATTATTGGCTTTCGTCTGGTATCCTTTGTTCTTCATGGTTTGGTTGGTGTTGGACACTTTTTTTCCGAAGCACGAAGTGTCAAGGATGTTTCACTCTCCCTGCGTAAAATTCCTTGTTCATTGTGGTTCCTATCAAACATTTCTTTTCATGCTGTTTTTGTCTTCATTTAAATTTCAGAGCGATTTTCTACAGTACGCCATAGCTGGTAAGTGAAGGCAAAGGAGAAATTCATCATTTTGCGAGTTGACATCTCGCACATCTTAACAATAAGTGCTGCCCTATTTATTCCGGACATCATTTTTCTTAGCCTTTCTTGTCTAAATTCTAATAAGGATATTGGTAAACAGCCAGCTTCGAACCGTTATTAGTCCGACTGCAACCTTTGACTATCTTTGGCCACTTAGTATTGGAAAGAAGAGTGTTCATCTATGGCAGAGACTTAATATAAGGCTTGGTACATGCAGGAAATCTCTACAAATGACCTCCGAGTAAGGCAATGTCTCTGGAAAAACTGAGTAAGCGTCTCGCCCAAAAAAAACCCCTTAACCCTTTAAATCCTAGAAGTGATTAACATACAACTTCTCCCTATAATATCCATACAGTATCTAGCGAACAGGTAATGAGAATACTCAAACTTAGACAGGTAGAAGTTATTGATCTATAACCAAATTCTCCCACGTGATATACAAGGGAATGAGTTGAAGCTAGTAGGAAGAATTAACAATCAGATCTTCGGAGTTAAAGGGTTAAATTGCGGTAACTTGGGAACAATGAAGTGCAAGTCACATGAAACTGCAGCCTGGCACTTTCTCATACCGAGGGAATATCGGTTGATATTTTCTTGTCCATACTAAACTTTGTTACGTCACCACCAGCCTCCCTGTTAAAATGTTTGTCTTATTGACACTTAACAATTCTTTCTCGATACGCAGATTGGGTAATTTTCATGTTTGTGCTCGGACATATCGTGGATATTGTCAAACAATTCTACCACGTGGGAAGAGTCCGTTTCTTTTCCAGCCATTGGAACTACCTGGCTGTTGCAACAGTGTCATCATTTGTTCTTCATTACATCTTTTGGTGGTCTGGTCGCTCAGTCCTTGTAAAGAAACTGGAAAATATGACGTGGGCCAACCACGCCGATGAATTTTCGTACACGATCGTATTGGTCTCCGACTGTTTTTTTGCAGTGGCAATCCTGCTGGCCTTTACTCAAAACCTGGCCTTTATCCAGGCCAACGCGACAATTGGTCCTCTACTGCAAGCTTTCATGAGAATGATGTTTGATGTAATGAGATTTTTCTTTTACTTTATATTTGTCTTTCTCGCGTTTGTGGTGAGCTTCACCAAGCTCTACTTACAGTATTCTAAGGCCAGACAGTATTTCCTTACGAGTTCAGGTGATTCAAATCAAACAGATCCTCTTCATCTTGAAAGGTGAGTCTAAATAGTTTGTGCTGTTCTTAATTTTAACAAGTTACGGCACTTAGTTAAGAAACGGTCAAATTTTCATCTTCTCAGAGAAAAAAAACAGCAACTTTTCGCAGTCAGCCTCAAATAATTTAAGGATGCATATTTTGACATTCCTTAACCGTAACGCGTATTGAGCAACTTATAACTGTTCGACTAGAGATGATATATCCTTTCTAGCTGTTCGATAATTCAAATGTGTACTTTCCGTCTTGCAGTATTTTAGACAGTACAAACACGATCTTTTGGTCGCTGTTTGGTCAGATAGACCCCAGCAGTTTCAAAATCTCCGAAGCGGAGTATGGTGTTATTTGGAGAACTGGAATGACCTTATTTGGTGCCTTTAACATCACAGCAGTGCTGGTAGCCCTCAATATGCTGATCGCGATACTCAACGACTCTTACGTCCAGATAACGGTAAGCTGTATTCTAAAAAAAATGGTTATTTCATCGGTGTCGTACATGCTCGGAATTTTTGTTGGTTCAAGCAAGTTCCGGTATTGCACCTTTGAGTCTTACCAAATCGTAATTCATCCTGTTTAAGATGTTCGTGTCACTCATCAGATTTTCAAAACTTCATTTTATTAACAGGCCAACTTGGATGCTGAATGGAAGTTAACAAGAACCAGATTGTGGTTAAACTGGATTTCCAAGAAGGGCGTTCTTCCTCCACCATTCAACTTGGTGTATTTGTTTGTTCCCATCGTATGCTTTATTCAGCATCTTATCTCAGCTTGCTGCTCAGAGAGAGTCTTAGTGAGTTACTCTAGTGATTTACTATACTGAGCAACGTAGGCAAAGTTTCTTCCTAAATTAGATTCAGTCAAATGTAATGGTGCAATGAATAAACCACCCTGATATCAATGACATTCACTGACATCTAAAGCTGTTCCATTGACAATTAAACTAAAATTGACCTGTTAAATTACCTAGTTACTCCAATATTATATATTTTTTCGTTTTGAGTTCCAATCCGGGTAAACAAAAAGCCATTGTAATTTTCCTCCTTGCAAATTTAAAGTTTCATCCTTTTAACTAAAAAAGTTACGCTGAATGTGTAAATATAACTGATCAATAGATTTCTAGTGATTGTTCGTCAATGCATTAAATACAATTGTCTTTATAGTAGCTTTTTGCTGCCAATTTATTTTCAGTAATACAAGCCAAAAAGCCACTTTTTTCTTTTTTTATAGTTACTTTGGAAACGACGACAAAAAATCACCTGGAAAGTTGACAGAATTAACGAGAAGGAGGTAGGAAGCAATAACTGCTCCTTAACATGTTAAGGCTTGAGTGTTAGGAGCTCAGTGATTTAACACCGACTTACAGCTGATCATTTCAGGTTTAACAGTTGGGTTTCGTCACTAAGGGAAGATGATAGTGACTATATTTTGGGTAAATGATCTACGGTCCTTGTTTGTTGTCATGTTTGTTTAACCTTGTGGATCCCATCCTTGAAAGAAAAACGGGATAAATGTTTGATCGTTTCCTTATCGAGCTGGAATGGTAATCGAGCACGATAAATCCATGTTTCCCAGAAACAACTGTTGATCTGAAAAACGATCGTTTACTTCCCCGCTGAAGAAAGCAACTTTGAAAACAAATTAGACGTGGTTTTCTTTGAATTTTGGGAGACCTGTGGCCCTTTCCTCAATGCTCCTGGTAACCTTACGCGCTCGAGGCCGTATTCAAATATTTTAATCTAGGAAAAAATACCTGCGGTCTTACCTCAAAGCCCTGTCCATTCTATTAAATTTCCTGATCGTTTGAATTTAAAAAAAATTATTAAATCCCTCGTAATGTAAAAACTGCGAAAAGAGTAGATTTTTGGAATTTGAAACTAACGAAACTTTCGAGAAACAAGCCTTTAGTTCATTGCTCGTCCTGAATATATTTATGTGATGGATTAAATTTGTACTCCATATATGTTGCCATCTCAGAGACGAGAAGTGATTCGCAGCCTTATCCTAAGGAATCTGGCGAAGAAATCATACCACCCAGAGGCTGAAACTGAGCCAGTCGACTCCGACGAAGAAAATGAGAACGAAGTGGCTGTTACCGTGTTAGAAGACAATTGTTTACACACCAGCCAAGTAAACACGAAATTATGAACATGGAAAATGTTTTTTTATTGTCTTTGTTGCTATTAAATGTATGTTAAGAACATTTGATAACCTGATAACATAATTGCTTTTATATTACTTTGGGCCACCCTAAGAGTGGTGTAGATCAACGTCGTGGGTTGGAAATCAGGTTATTCATTATGGATTTTACTTAGGGAAGGTCGGGCATTCTAATTTATGTTTTACTGCTTAATTTTTGATAATTTGACGATTTACACTTATGTTTAACAGCAAATTTCAAAAGGTCGGCATGATATTTCCTTAGAAATACATTACTGTAAAAACGTACAAGTTTTTCCCTTGCTATTTTTAAACGAAAATATATTTCAATGCTGTGATAATTTTTAAATTCGCGATGGTTTTTAAAAAGATGTAATATGTTTGATGAGAAATGCTGGACTAAAACTTTATTAATCTAAGGTAAATGGTTTCGTTAATTTTTTTTAAACAATGTACAACATTTTTTCAATGAGCCTTGAATATAAATAAACAACGATCGATTGTACATCATACCGTTTTGTATACTTTTTCCTTTTTTTTCTCTCTCGTTACTGGATAATCCAATTATTCTTGCAGATTTCACTGACATCACGTTACATTCTGAGATTTGAGACTTGGAAGCGTTTTACGCTCAACATTGCGCTATTTTTTTGACGGTAAAAAGTTGTTTTTATAAAGGATTGACGGGTAAAATTTATCGCCTAACTGGGCCTCATCATCATGGCATAAAGCGAGTTTTATTGAGGTAGTTCCGCTTATACAATAAAAAGGCTTTTGGAGCTCATTCAAGGGTGACCACGACCACTAAATAGAAGTGACCGCTTAATAGAGGTGAAAACTGATGTGCTTAAGCGAAAAAAATTTCGGAACTTTGACAACCGACTGCTGAATACAGGGTAACCGCTTAAAACGGCGCCGCTTGGTACAGGTTCGACCGCATATAGCGCTACAAAAAATCTTAAATTTACTTTTATAGTTTCCATCTTTGATGATGGGCCCTGGCCATCATTCGTTTATCTCTTCATTTTTCTACGTATATCATGAAATCGCACGACCTCGAATGAGTCCTATTTTTCAATCGCGAGGGTTGTCAGAAACCATAAACTGGGCTGTGACAAACAAATCAGATTTGCGCATTTTGTCATTAATTATATCAAATATGCAACCGGCAGCATAGGATAACAACTAACAGTTGCGCCGAAACATTTGCTTTTTCTTTGAGGGTTTCTTAAATTGGTTAAATAAAGCGATAGGCGTAAATCGTTTTTCGTTGAGTAGATTATGACATCTTACAAAACACGCTGTTTGAATTTTTTCATCATTCCTCGCCCAATTTTTTTTCTGCAAGGTGATCAATATATGCTTTCCTAGTATTTCTAATTCCTTTTCAGTATAAAGGCTTAAAGAGATTAAGAGATGAAGAAAGGTAGTTGAAATAAATCAGGCCAGATTTTACTCCGAGAAATCATTTGAGAGAGAAAACAAAATTAAGTTAGACAGAAATGATCAGAGTATTAATAATTTGGAGCAAAATTCATGAAAATGAACACCCCTAATTGCCTTTATACCATTGAAATCCCTGACAATCGCATTATACACAAAATAAATTATTACCATGCATTACTCAGCTCAACCATACTTGTTACCTACGAAATAAAATTGTATACATGACGTTAGTTGAACTGGTCAGTTAAACTAGTGTCATATTCTCTCGTTAAAAGAAGTGAAATGAACATAATGACAATTGCCACGAAAAAAATGAATATTAAATGTGGTCTGTTAGAAATTTTCTCGGCAACCGAGAGAGAAAAAAAGCACGGCAAGAAAATAAGGGGAATAATTGATACCCTTTTAATTAACCTAAACTTTTGCCAATTACTCCGTCGTCGATACCGGAGACATTTAAACCGAGTGTCAAAATACCTGCACGAGGGCATTGTATATTTTTCAAAGAATCTAATTTACCTGTTTAACAGATCCCACAACAATTCAAAGACAACGCCAATCAAGTTCTATTATTCTCTGTTTCCTCAGCGTAAACAAAAGCGTTCTTTTGCATGCGTGTGGAGCTCGCGACTCATGTCTTGTACTTTCAAATTTTGTTGGTAAACTTTGAGTTTCCGTATTTTTCTTTCTTTTAAATGTCATAGTACGTTTATGAATCGCTTTCGGACCAAACTGTAAAGGATGCCACATCTATTAGCATCTATTTGACTAAGAATAGCGACTTTTGTTATCTACCATAATCTTCAATGGGCTCTGACACGTGAAAAAAACGGTGCTCGCAGATTGGCCAGGTATTCACCTGTTTATAACTGTATCTAGCATCTTCACATCAAGAAGCTTGTCTCATTGGCATTAGAAATCTGGCAAGTTTACATGCCAAATTTGAGTGTAAGTCTACTTAAGCACCAATATTCTTAGATAAGAACACACTTATGCTCAGAGGCGGTACTTTATTGTTGATCAGCATCTTTGGCTTGTAGCGCTTTGTACCAACAGAATCTACTCGTCATTAATCATCACTACTGAACAACTTACGGCTTGTTTGAATGTTCTTTTCGCTTCTGGTTATGTGAACAGAGCGAACTTAGCTCTGCCAGCGACACGACTTAAGAAGTGAACCGGACATATTTCCGAAAAGTTGCCACACCGAGGAGTGCGGAATATTCTCTGAAGTTATTAATAGCATAATTTGTAATGGAAGGCATAGAGATTCTTCAGCCAGAGCTAGCAGTGAATGGTATTTGTTGGCATCCAGTGAGTAAAGGGGAACGAAAGCTTTTGAAGGCAGTAGCAAGAGGAGATTTGGATAAAGTTAGAATTGCGTTAGGTTCCTCACTGAAATGCAGTGTAAACAGTGTAAACAACTCTGGTAAAACAGTTTTACAAATTGCTTCAGAATTAATCGAATCTACCGTCCGAAATGACATGATTAACTTGTTACTTCATGGTGGAGCCGACTTGGAACTCGCCTTGTTGCACGCCGTGCGTGAGAGTGATGTGAGAGGTGTTGAAATTTTGCTGCAGTTTCACGATCCTTCATCACCAAAGCGGATGTCTCCGGATTCAATGAGCTTAAAATACCAACGTCACTTCACGCCATTGATCCTGGCGGCCTGCTTGCAGAATTTCAAAATTGTAAAACTCCTCTTGGAACATGGATTCTCCATTCCCAATTTACCGATTGATTTAAAAAAGCCTGTTGGCTCAGAAATCAACTTTGATGAAAAACTGGGGCTCACTTTGTTTCGTTTAAACAGATACCGAGCTTTGGCAAGTCCCGTGTACATGGCGGCGTCGTTTCTCCAAAACCCCTTCAGCGATCCTGATCCTGTCCATCGCGCATGCGCTCTTAGTAAGGAATTGTCTCACATGGCCGAACGGGAGCTCGAGTTCAGACAAGAGTATTTGGAGCTTAGTGATGGTTGTAAAGAGTTTACTGTGGATCTGTTAAATGGATGCCGCTCAATGAAAGAGATCAGGTGTGTTATGGAGATGGAGAACGAAAAAAGTACACCATTAAACACAGATGGAGTGGTTTTGAACATTCTGGAATTTGCCATAGTTACCAGGAATGAAAAGGTGTGCTCATCTTTTTTACCTATCATTTTAAACGTTTTCCTACTTGCCTTTCTGGCTCTCTGTCTGTTAACCTGAATTTTTTAAAACTTATTACTATAATCTTTAATGAGGATGCCAGCGTCACAAAAGTGGTTTACAGGAGGGTCCTCTTAAATTAAATACTAATACAAAGATAAATTACAAATAAAAACAAATAACTAAAACTAAATCTAAGAACTAATTAAAAATACTAATCACAAAGTATTAACTAAGAGTAATACTAGTAAGGTAAATTAAAATTCAAAATTAAATTTAGACAGGCCACGTTTGAAGGCAGGCAGTGAGTTTGCATTTCTTAGTGAGATGTCTAAACCATTCCATACATCTGCGCTAAAGTTAACTGACGACCAATGACCCCATCTTCTTGTGGCACTGGATTTTCGAACGTCATTTCTCGATCTTGTATTGTAACCATGAAAGTCCCGATTAAATGTGACAGGAATAGTATTACATGAATGGTTGTTAATTAATTTATACATAAAGATGGCATGGTGTTCTTTTCTACGACGCAGTAATGGTTTCCAGCCAAGTCTCTTTAGGGCCTCAGTTGCGGAAAAATAAACAGGTAAGTCTAAAATGAGGCGAGCGGCCTTATTCTGCAACACTTGCAGCTCAGACATTAAGGACGCATTTCCGCGATCTCCCCAGATGATATCCCCATAGTCAAAAATAGGTAAAATGAAACTATTGAAAAACATAATTCTAGCGTTGAGGGGGAGGCAAGATTTAATACGCCTTAAAAGACCTAACTTTCTACTGACCTTACTACGAATATAATCAATGTGGTCAGTCCAGGAGAAGTGGTTATTAATCACAATGCCTAGGTAAGTAAAAAAAAAGAATCTACGTTATCGAGAGGGGTATCATCAGCCGAAATAAGTATGGACTCAACTTTGTTCAAGCGGGAACTACTACCGATAAGCAAAAATTTGGATTTTTGAACATTCAGAGTCAGTTGGTTTGCCCGAAGCCACCTACATATACGTTTTAAGTCATCGTTAATCTTACTTTGTAAGTCTACAGTAGATTTGGAAGCGAGGTATAAAACAGTGTCATCTGCATATAAAGTAACCTGACAGGATTGCAAAACATCAGGTAGATCATTCATGTAAATTATAAATAAAAGTGGGCCCAATATAGAGCCTTGAGCAACGCCAGTCGATACAGCGGCAGCTTTGGAGCAAGCATAATCACAGCTAGTCATTTGTGTTCTGTTTGTTAAGAATGAAGTAAACCAGGCTTTGCCAGCATCATCAACACCATAAGTTGAGAGCTTCTGGAGCAGTATTGAGTGATTGACAGTGTCAAACGCTTTGGCGAGGTCTAAAAAAACCGCACCGGTCAGGCAACCATTATCCATGGAGTGAAGGATCTGATCAGAAAGCTGAATGGTGGCAGTAATAGTAGATGACTTCAATCTAAATCCAAACTGGTTGGGTGAAATTAAATTATTCTCAGTAAGATATGCATAAAACTGAGTATGTACCGCCTTCTCTAAAATCTTGCTTACAGTCGGGAGAATGGAAATTGGCCTGTAATTAGAAGCATTCAATTTATCGCCCTTTTTAAACAGGGGTATAACCTTTGCTGTTTTCCATATCGAAGGAAATGTTCTAGTTTGAAGGGATAAATTGAATAAGGCCGTAAGAGAAGGAGTGATAACGTCCACAGCATCTTTTAAAAGACGCGCGCTAATTTTGTCGAGACCAACGGCCTTATTGGTTTTCAATGAACTGATGGATCTTGAGACAAAATCTTCACTAATCGGTTGAAACGTAAAAGTCGAGTGGCAGGCCGTAGCTTTAGCTATGTACGGTTCGGAAACGATTTTTTTCGGCAAGGGATTTACCCACGTTCACGAAATATGAATTAAGAGTCGAGGCAATAGATTGAGCTGAGGTGAGAAGGACACCATCAGCTAACAAACTGGTTTGTTTTAAATCCTTTGGAGGATTTACTGCCGTTAATTTTAGACGAAGGTAGAGTTTTGTTTTAGTGACGAACCTTTTTTTCAGATGGTGATCTCGCTTTCATTACCTATTCATATAGAAGAGGAACTCTTGAAAAACACAGGCATTTACTTTCCGGCGGCTTTTTTCTTGAAATCGCCTCTCCTTATCGGGATTCCTAAACTCAGCAACTAATCGTACATGTTATTTTCAGTTTGTCAGCCATCCTTACAGTCAGCTGGTATTGAAGTCAGAACTCCTCAGACATGTCCCATTCCTGGAAAACAGCCCAGGGAAGAGATTTACAGTGGTGCTTTTATCATCTCTTTTGTCTCCTTTGATCTTTGCAATTTGGCTTGCTTTCGAAACCTTTCTGCCCAGACACAAGGTAGCCAGAATGTTCCATTCACCTTGTTTAAAATTTCTCACCAATTGCGGAGCTTATCAAATTTTTCTTTTCGTGCTTATTTTGACTTCGTTCCAACGAGACACGAAGTTCCTGGAATATTCCATCACTGGTGAGTACAGAAGAATATTAAAAGTTAGCATATTGTATTTTTTATTCCACCTAGATTTCCTTGAAGACTTGGCTTATTTTCTAAATGTCATGATCAAGCAGGCCAAAAATAAAATAATTTAAGAACAAGAACTTACAATGCTATCACTATACTCAGTTTTAACTGATGGGAAAAACGTTTCACCTTACAGCGCATGCATCATCTTCAGTCTGAAATTTAATACTGGTTCACTTAAGTAATTCTACCCATTTTCTCTTTGCAGATTGGATTGTTGTCGCATTCGTCATCGGACACTTGGTAGATTTTGTCAAAGAAGTTTTTCAACAAGGAAGAATTCGCTTCTTTGCCAACAAATGGAACTATCTAGCTGTGGTTAGAGTGACCTTGTTTGTTCTTTGTTACGTCATGGGTTGGTTTGCCCGTACAAGTATTGTAGACAGAGGGGATTCTTTGCAATGGGAGAACCATAGCGACGATCGCTTCTACAAGGTTGTGCTGTTTTCCGAGTGTGTTTTTGCTGTGGCAATACTTCTTGCATTTGCGCACAACTTCTCATTTATTGAAGAAAATGCCGTCATGGGCCCATTGTTACAAGCATTTATACTGATGTTGTTTGATGTAATGAAGTTCTTCTTTTTTTTTGTTTTTGCTTTTCTGGCATTTGTTGTGAGTTTCACGAAGTTATACTTGCAGTATGAGAAAGCTAAGGATCATTTTATTTCAAGTAAAGTGATCACAAACGAAACAGACCCCTTGCACCTAGAAAGGTGAGTTAGGGAATTTGTGATTAGCGGTTTATTCTCTCTTGAGATGAGATGATAGATTCACGATGATAGAAAAGTCATCGTTAGGGGTTTAATAAGTTTTGAAACAATTTTGTTTTCCTTCCCTTCTTGTTCCTCTTCTCCTATTTCGTCGTTCCCTTCCTGTTGTACCTGATCTTAATCTTTCTCCTGCTTTTCTTGTAGTAATGATTCCAGAATACTTCCCTTTAGTAATTTATTAAAGTACTTAAATTGTATCCGTTCGTAGGTTTTCAAGCAGTGTTTCCACCATCTTTTGGTCTTTATTCGGCCAAATCGACCGTGACAATTTTAAAATCGACGAGACAAAATATGAAACCATATGGAGAACAGGCATGGGGCTCTTTGGCGCGTTCAACATTGTAGCAGTATTAGTTGCTCTGAATATGCTAATCGCCATGTTGAATGAATCTTACACAAGGATAACGGTAAATGCAACTTTCAATAGATTGCTGCTCCTTAAGACAGTTATAAATTTGCAGTATATTTTTTACTTAGATCACATTTCGAGTGTCTTAAAACTAAAACCCAAAGTAATGAAAGCAACCAATCGGGGCAAAGAAGGAATCACCGAGAGCCAATGAGGAATCATTTTAAAAGCAAGCAAACTGCTCCTGGGCTAGGGGAAATGGGAGTGGTCAGTGCGCGATTGGTTTTATTCTTGGATCTTACTGGTTGAGAATGTAGCTCGATATTTTTCTGAACCAATCATATAGCGAAGTTAACCCAAACGAAAGCAATCTTGGATTATTTTCATTATGCTCAGCCGTTGAAATCGCAAGCGTTTGTTATCTTTCGAGACGTGAGCCAAGAAACTAACTCTGGTCCACAGCCTCGAGGCTAACCGGAAATGTTTCAGGAATAATGACGTAAAAGCCCAAAGTCCGCTAGCCTGCTATTCATTTTTTCGCCGGGGAGTTTTAAATCAATGATACTAACGATTTTCTGTCAATAAGGATGTGCGATTAACGAGGAAAACCCTTATCTATGGTATATATGTACTTCATGTCGATAAGTGTCATTGCTTTTAGCACGGTATGGCACATACATCGTTTATTTTTCAACGACTTTTATTTAACTTTTTTAACAGACCAACTTAGATACTGAGTGGAATTTTACCAGAACAAAACTATGGTTAAGCTGGCTTTACAAGAAAGGCATTCTCACTTCCCCTTGTAATCTTCTCTACCTGGTTCTTCCACTTTTTTGGGTTTTAAAGAATCTTTTGGGAGTTTGCTGCCCAAGAAAAATAAAGGTGAGTACGTTTTGTAGGAAGGATTTTCATGATTTCTGCCAGATACTAAAAAAGGAGTGAGGGAGGGAGGGAGGGAGGGAGGGAGGGAGGGAGGGGAGGGAGGGGGGAGTTGTGAGTTCGAATGCAGCTAATACAGAAGAAAGAAAAAGGAAGCACTGATCGACTGACTCTGATTACTTAGCCTGTCATCATTTAGCCTTTCATCATTTAGTAATAAGCGATGTCTAGTACCACCAGAGCGATGGGAGGAGGAGATTTTTTTGGGGTGATGTCCTTATTGGGTGTACTTGGAAAACACACCGAAACATGGCAGATGATTTCAAAATACCTTTTCAACATGTGTGTAACGAAAAACCTTGGTGTTAGTGTTTCTTATAGAGATTATCAAATTATGATGGCCTTCCCTTAAGCAATGTTGAGAGCGAATGCTTCGACTAAAATGGAAAATACGAATATCAAAAGGGATGAGGGTATCTGAGGTTTCTTCCACTGAATTATCATGTGATTTTTCATCAACTCTTGAAAGTTGGGAGACTACGATTCGTTCCTATTACTGCGAGACAAAAACCACTCGTGATCAGTAGCAATTTGTGTAACATATTTATCTCAAAATAGTTATTTGTGGGAAAGTTGGTTCCGGAAAAGCCAAAGCCTTCCTGGAAAATAAGAAGGACTAACGAAAGAGAGGTAGGAAGACAACGCATTGTATTAATCTTGTGAGCAAAGATTTATTCTGTTTTCGATGTCCTGTAGAATATCTACGAACCCTCTTTTAAGAAACGAGTAAGAATGTGTCAAAATGGTAATGTTGTATTGAATTTTCTCCAGCTACATTAGGCAAGAAAATCCATAGTAATTAGTCGAGTCTAATTTCATTTAATGTAAAATATTTATATCACAGTTTTCTTTCTGCCATGGCGAAAGTAAAACCTGGCCCACCAGTTACAATATTTCCTTAAGGTACAGCTGAAAAAGATACCTTGAATTTTCAGAGACGAGAAGTGATGCGCCATCTAATCCTGAGGAACTTGGCTAAAAAGTCATGTCATTTAGAGTCTGGTAACGAGTCAGATGATTTGCACGAAGAATATGACATTAAAAGCACCGTCTCATTTCCGAACAATGGCGGCACTGGAAACTTTCCCCATAAGGAAAATGGATACACGGGAAAAACGTATTTGTAAATATGCATACATACATATATATATATATATATATATATATATATATATATATATATATATATATATATATATATATATATATATATATATATATATATATATATATATATATATATATATAAGTTAAAGAATTAAAGAGGACGCATCGATTCTCTGTAACTCTGAGTTTCGCGCCTAAGCGCTCGTCAGACAGAACTTTCATCCGTCTGACGGGCGCTTAGGCGCGAAACTCAGAGTCACAGAGAATCGATGCGTCCTCTTTAATCGATGCGTCCTGCTTAGCTCTTTTACCACAGCATTGAGCACTTTAGCTCTGCTACCACAGCATTTCATTTTTATATATATATATATATATATATATATATATATATATATATATATATATATATATATATGAAGACAGGGGGTTGAAGCTGGAGTCTCACGTATTAGCTATTATATACGCATTTAAAGAAAAATGCGTATACATCCCGACGGGTGATTATCTAACAAAGTTCTAAACTCTATGTATGTTTCCGTCATTTAACGTTGGCCTTCTCGCAAGAGCGAGCACCTAGGTACCTGGGGTGTGGAGCCGGCTGGCCTCAACTTTTGATCCCAGTCCCTGCGTTTTGCGCAGGTTTGCGTCACTATATAACTTGGGTGACTGGACGATAAACATGAAAAAAGGGGGTAGGTTTCTAAAGAAACTGTGGTGCTGCTTCGGTGGGAGAGTATAACAGGGTAATTTAGTATTACCAACTGAGTTGATAACGTAAATTGGCCACCGTGAAGAGTTTAAAGGCTGACGTTTCGAGCATTAACCCTTTGTGTGTGGTTTGAAATGCAGAAAAAGGAGCTGCGCTCGAAACATCAGCCTTTAAACTCTTTACGGTGGCCAATTTACGTTATCAACTCAGCTGATAATACTAAATTACTCTGATAAACACGAAAGCCTTACTAAAAAGCGCAAAAAGAGATACCGTTCATGATCTGTTTGTGTAATCCTGTGCCGATTATTGCTGACTATTTCAAGTTGTCAACTTTCGCCTGTTGCGGCCACGTGAGATGGAGCAGAAGAGTTCTCATTTGTAGTCAAAATTGATTAACACCAGAAGAGCTGTATTGCTACCAAGAGAAAATGATGAAATCCTTAATAATGAAATATTTCAAGTTTTTATTGTCAAAAACGAGCAGTATGATCAAACCATCGATTTGGAACAAAAAAATTTCAATAGCCATTTACCTTTTAGAGCGGTTGATTTTTTTAACGCTACTGACCTTAGAAAACTAACACTTAAGGCTTTGACTGAATTTTCGTGTATTATAGATATGTGCATAATTTTTGCATTTAAAAATGAAATGAAAGTGAGAATTTCATTTTCCGAGAACCTAATTTAGAAAGTAATTCCTTCTTAAAATCGTAAAAATAGAAAAAGGGGGTAATAAAACCAGCTAATTTTACCGATGAATCTCGTCTTGCAGTTTCGCGAGTGGAATCGTTTTCTAGATGTTATAAATTATAAATTGTATTTAGCAGACAAACATATGCGGAATTTAATTTTCGTGCCCAATTTGGTCTTCTTGAAATGATGAAATAAAGGTTCTGTAAAAATACCTTCGCGCAAAATTAAAATAGAATAGCTGCTTGTTAAGCAAGAATCGGTTTTATATTTTTTTTGGGTTTATTAAATTGATATTGTGGGGCTATTACGAATTCGTTGTCTTTTTGTCATCGAAGCAGACATTTTCCGTGACGTGTGCGTTAAGTTGAACCGGTCCTGATGCGTTTTTTGTCAATGTAGTAATCCATTTTAGAATGATATTACCCGTTATCCTCTTGTCTCTTCGTAATTCCCAGTCTTCGTTTTAGGAAGAAGGAAAATTGTTCCTCCTTTTTCTATAAATCCATAGCATTTGTGTTCTAAAAATATTCTGGGCTCAAAGCCAGACCCTAAGCATGCAACTTTACTATTCTTCCTACCCCCAACAAAAAGTGTAGCGAACTCAATCTTCGTGTATTGCTGCAAAAGTTGTGTTAACACAGCTTCTACTTCTATTAAGAAACCATGATGATTTACGTGTTCCATTTTCTGGTAAAACACAACAGAGAGGAAATTAATATTCATTCAGCCTGAATAAAACTAAACTTGCAATTATCTCAAATTGAATATGCGATTTATGCTGTCATTAAGGTGACAAAATCTTCACGTTCAAGAGCTCTACTAAAATGAGTTTAGAGGCACACATAAATATCTAATAAATCGGAGAGTTTATAGATCTACTTTCTTGGAGAACGCCATCTACAAATAAAACTTTATGACATAAAAGATTTAACCCTCGCGAAAGGGAGACCTGATTCATCACTAAAACGTTTTTTTTTTCGTTCTCTGTCAGATTCACCACATTGACGCCATAATTTAGAATTTGCAAGGAAAATATTTGTCATTTTAGTTAACACACGTTGAAAAAATTAGCTCCCTCGTCAGAAGTCAATAAAAAATTAACACATTAATATCTTCTCAGTGAGTTTGGGTCGAGACGTTTTTGGAAGCAACACGATTTCATCATCATATTTCCATTAAGTTTCCCAAACGTCAATTTTATTTGTCTAATTTGACATAAGATATGTAAATATTATATCGTATCTATAAGGGTCTTTGTTGGGTTGTTAGTTCGAAATGAATAATCTTTAATCTCATCCTTGAGTGTAGTGAGATCGCAAGCAAGTTGTGGCGAGCGGTTCGGCGAAAGTAAAAAAGGTATCTTAAAATAACTAGCAGTGGAAGATTCTCTGGGTGCGGAAAAGGCTGATATTTTTGGCTTTAAGTTTTACCGTTAATCATCAATTAAAAATTAGAAATTAAACCGCCATCTCCTTTTTGACAAAAACTCCTTGGGATGGGTGTAAAGTCTCCCCTCTTTGAGTTAGGCTTAAACTTCTCACAGCATTTGTACGCTTGCAACAAGGCATTCCAGAATTGACATTACAAATTAACTTAAATCCGTCTCGATAATTGGAACTCTGTAAGGCATATAACAAGGGGTTGAAGAAAGAGTTTGAAAACAGTAAAACCCGAGAGGTTCTGTGAAGTTCAAACAAAACATCGTAGTTCTCCTCGACAGTTTTTCTGTCGGCCGATACCAAGAAAATGAAATATACGGAGAATGGCAGGGAACACGCAGCAAAGACGATTGCCAACCATATTACAAGACGAGCTAATTGTTTCTTCGCTTTCTTTTCTTCAACATTGCATGTCGATTCCGAGCAAATTGTTCTGGTGAAGTACAATCCACGAATGATTTCAAAATAACAGAAGATGAGTATCGAGGAACTCATGAGGCCAAACCCAGCACAGGTGAAGATGATGAAGGGTTTGTGAAGGAAATACTCATCCAAACTCCAGGGGCGCTTGCAAGGATATTTGGTTGAAGAGATGTTGTATGTATTGGCTTGAATATCTGGTATGCACGATAGTAGAGCTAACAGCCACAGAACTGCTATAACATACTTCACAGATTCTTTAGTCAGCTTTGCATTGCGAAACGGTTTCACAAGCGCCATATATCTCTCCACGGCGATGGTAGAGACTGTAAGCACGCCTACGTTTATGGTTATAGGAACAATAGCATTTCCCACAAACAACTTGCAGATCAAGTCTCCGGTGATACCCTGTAGGTGAACTTTCGTAATGACAAAATCGTACAAACCGGGACAGAGTAACAATGTGATCAGGTCGGCCACAGCCAAATTCATCAGCAGATAGTTTGTAGTTGTGTGCATTGAAGAGTTTTTCCACACAATTGTTATAATGATGGAGTTTCCCACAATACCTGGAAGAACGATCAGCGAGTAAATCACCGCAAATACGATGTCCGCTGTGGTTAAGGGACCATCAGCTTCAGAGCTAGACAAGCTTGCGTTGATCATTTATCCACGTGGTTGGATCTCTTAATTAGAAAACCACGAAAGCTGTTTTCGAACTCACTTCCCTCTCCTGTTTTCAGCTGAAAAAATGATGAAGGAGACCTTATCATTTTAATATTCGGTACTTTAGTGAAAACACTGCTGTTGGCTTGTCAGGCCAAAAGTCGACAGCCTTCAAGTTGTTGTTTACATATACGAGTTGAATGCAGGTTAAAATGTAAATTTCTCGCCGAAAACGAAATGCTAAGTGTTACGTTGCAGCCGGATATATTTAAACTAATGATTGATCATCAATTCGGAATAACCTCACGAAGAAGTTTCCTCATTTTATCTTCGGTCATTAATTGTTTGAAGTCATGAATAACAAATATTGAGTTTCGTGCCGATATTGGAGCATATGGGCGATTTGTTTCATGAATTAATGCATACAGACACATTTGAAGAATTCAGTTGCCTCACGTCCAAAATTTTTTGCCAAGAGGCACCATAACATCGCCAGAAATCAAGGACATTTCGAGCCCGCTAACAATTATCAGCGGTATATCGTATTATACTCCGGAACAATAGAATATCAAGAGAATTCAATATGGCGGCGATCACGGCTCGATCTACAAAGAAGTGTGTTTCGTACCATGACTTATACAATTTGAGCACCGCAGATCTTCTATTTGATGAAAATAAAAAGAAAAGAGGACCTGCAAGTAAATCTTTGGGATTTTTCGAGGCAGAGCGATGACATGATGTCAGAATTTTGATTTGCTTTAATTTAATTTTCGCGCTAAGACTACTAACTTTGCATTCAATGCCTGGCATATTTTTTTCCGAAAAGGACCTAAGAACTAATTCATTCATTTCCCTGCAAGAACATAAACAAATATGGCCGACGATTCGAAGATCAGCGTTGCTCGTGTTTAACTATTTCAGTCATAGTTTTCAACATGGCGTCTCGTCACTTACTCAACATGGAAAATAAGGGATATTCTGGCGCGTTGGGAAGTTTTTGGACGGGAGGAAATGGCAATTTTACAAGATATTTGGACGCTTCGAACTCTGTAGCAGTCAATTCGATCGAGAGCAGTTGACTTTATTGATGCACTTTCCTGTAATAGGCGAGTGTTTGAGATAGAGAACGACGGATTTTGAAGAACTGTATGGCGACCTAGGTCAATGAGTGGTTTTTATTTATCGAGTCCCTGTGAGGTTTGATGAATAGCAGAATCAGTACTGAATATGTCTCGATCGAGAG